AAAGAGGTGGAGATCTACATGAACAACATGGGAGAAGTCAAAGATCACTGGGCACAGTGTCAGCGTTGCCTCCTCACACCTGATTTAAACCTCTAACTTCCATACTACTGCCGTGTGGCAATCGCATACATTCCACAGAAATCATGGGTTTATATCAGGTCTTGAGGAGGCAACATATCGCCTCCTCACCACCTGTCAAACACACTCAGATTGCTTTTCAGAGGAGCAGCAGTGCCTACTGCACTTGTGAATGAGCCCTTGTGAATGAGCATTCAGAAGTGGTGCCCTTAGGGCTTGTTCACACGTAAAGTCAAAGGCGGGTAAACCCAGCAGTTGAGTCGCAGTTATACCACCTCTAATCCTTACCCCCTTTAGCTGCTGAGGCAGCCAAAGATGTAGATTACAGTGATCTATCGGCCTCCTGGACCCATGTCCCGCTTGATGACTTTGCCGCCTGGCTACCCTACTTTCTTTCCTCTGAGCTAGTCACTATCATTCTCGGAGACTTCAACATCCCTATTAACGTCAATAACCCGGCTACATCCCAACTCTTCCACATAACCTCTTTCGTTTGAACTAGCACAGTGTATAAAGTCCTCCACTCACTCCCTACAACCTCACAAACACCCCCTTTCCCCTCTCTGATCACAATCTCATCACCTTTACAGTCACCTCATCCTCTAACACCTATCCCAACAAACAGCAAACAATTACCAGCAGAAATCTCCGAAACTTGAACCCTGCTCCCTTCCACTCTGCAACTGACCAACTCTATGACAGTATCAATCCCCTTCCCTGCCCTGACCTGGCCACTGCTGTCTACAACAATTCGCTTTCATCCGTTTTAGACTCGCTTGCTCCCCTAACAACACGAAGCATCAGGCCCCGACCGTTACAACCTTGGCAGACTGACAACACCAGAAACCTCAAATGACACAGTCGTGCGCTGGAGCGATTATGGCGTAAAACCAAATCCCACCAAGCGTTCACCCGATATAAATCTGCCTTCTTAACATACACTTCCTCCCTCCACGCTGCTAAACAAGCCTACTTTGTCACTCTCATTAATACCTTCTCTTCCAGTCCTCGTCGGCTCTTCTCTAATTTTAACTCCCTACTTTCTCCGCCTCCACCGCCACCTAGTACGTCATTCACTGCCCACGAGATTGCAAACCACTTCAAAAACAAGACTGACGCAATTCGTAGGGACATCGCCAGTGCACAGACATCCACTCCACTTAGCATTCCTCATACTAAACCTCCCTCAACTTTCCTCTTTTGACCCTGCTACTACTGAAGAGGTCACTAAGGTTTTCTCAGAAGCCCGCCTCACCACCTGCCCCCTGGACCCTGTCCCTTCGCAACTCCTTCGGTCACCCTCCTCTTCCATCCTATGCTCCCTCACTCACATCTTCAATCTTTCCCTCTCTACTGGTGCCTTCCCCTCCCCTCTAAAGCATCACTCCCATACTTAAAAAACCTTCCCTGGACCCCACCAACCTGAACAACCTAAGTCCCATCTCCCTTCTGCCATTCACCTCTAAACTCCTAGAACTCTTAGTCTACAATCGTCTGAGCTCCCACCTCACCAACAACAACCTTCTAAACCCTTTATAGTCTGGCTTTCGCCCCCTACACTCCACTGAAACTGCCCTACTAAAACTCTCTAATGACCTACTAACTGCTAAAACCAATGGCCACTATTCAATACTTCTAATACTCGACCTCTCCGCGGCTTTTGATACGGTTGACCATCCCCTCCTCCTCAAAAAACTGCACTCTCTTGGCCTTAGAGACTCCGCTCTCTCCTGGTTCTCCTCCTATCTATCGCAGCGCTCCTTCAGTGTTTCCTATAACGCTGCCACCTCCTCTTCACTCCCTCTCTCTGTAGGGGTCCCTCAAGGTTCTGTCCTTGAATCCCTTCTCTTCTCCATCTACACCCCCTCCCTTGGTCAATTGATAAACTCCCACGGCTTCAATTACCATCTCTATGCTGATGACACGCAAATCTATCTGTCTACCCCTCACCTCACCCCTTCAGTCTCTCCACTCGCATCACTAGCCTACTAAGTGACATATCGGCTTAGATGTCACTCCACTTCCTCAAACTCAATCTTTCCAAAACTGAGCTCCTAGTATTCCCCCCAGCCCGTGCCATCCCCAATGACTTCATCATCAAGATCGATAACACAATCATCTGTCCCTCCCCTCATGCCAGGGTCCAAGGTGTAATCCTAGACTCCCATCTGTCCTTCCAGCCCCAGATCCAATCGCTGACAAAATAATGTAGTCTTCACCTCTGCAACATCTCCAAGATACGACCGTTCTTAACCCCGGAAACCACTAAGCAACTTATTCACTCCCTTGTCATATCACGCCTCGACTATTGTAACTCCCTCCTCATTGACCTACCTCATCGCAGGCTATCCCCTCTTCAGTTTATCATGAATGCTGCTGCCAGACTCATCCACCTTACTAACCGTTCTGTTTCTGCCACCCTTCTCTGCCAATCCCTCCACTGGCTTCCCATTGCCCAACGAATAAAAAATCAAAACATTAACACTGACATATAAAGCCATTCATAACAGTGCCCAAATTACATAACCGATCTTGTCTCTAAATATCACCCAAACCGTACTCTTCGCACCTCGCAGGACCTCCTACTCTCTAGCTCCCTTGTCTCCTCCTCCCATGCTCGTCTCCAGGACTTCTCCAGGGCTTCCCCCATCCTCTGGAATTTCCTACCCTAATCTATCAGACTATCGCCTACTCTGCTTACTTTTAGGCGATCACTGAAAACCTATCTCTTCAGGGAAGCCTATCCCGCCCTCTGCTAACACTGGAATCCTCTACTCTTCCAAACACTCCATCCCCCACAGTTATTACCTATTGTACCATTAACCCCTCCCTCCTAGATTGTAAGCTCCAAGGAGCAGGGCCCTCAAATCCCTCTTGTATTGAACTGTATTGTTGCTGTATTGTCTCCCACTATAATGTAAAGTGCTGAGTAAACTGTTGGCGCTATATAAATCCTGTATGATAATAATAATAATACACATGTCACAGCAGAAGTAAACCCCTTGTTGCTTTTGGTGGTTTCTACCGCCTGCCAATCTTGACCAATTCACATAAATTGGGCCACTATGCAAGTGCCCTGAAACTGCATGCTTCTGCGGGGTCAAAGGGGTTGAAGCAGACTCAATGCTGCTGGCTTTAACCTTTTGTTTGCTGTACTGCAACAAGTTGCAGGGCACTTGCAGAGAGGCCACATTTGTGTGAATGGATTATGCATGGCAGGTGCTACACCCACCAACTATGACAGGGCGTATAACTCCTGCTGCTACATGTGTGCACCCCTGGCCACTGCAGCTAAAGGGGGTGCAGTTGGGATGGGGGTGAAGAATCTGAAGATCGCTAGTCATAGCTTACCCTTTGCTCTTCACAACTCTAGAGCTTGATACGTCAATGAGATTATCCAGATCTTGACTTCTGTAACCAAAATTAAAATTGCACAGTCAATAATTACATTCAAAACTTCAAGCTAGAGAGATAAAGTCAACCTGTTGTCAGGCTATGGACATTAAGGCATTTACATATTCTTAGGCAGTAAATGAGTTTTAAAATCAATCCTTCACTGACCGCTGTAACAGCAGGCACTGTTGAGCAAAATAGCCCCAAAGTTCATAGCCAAAGCACTTAAAGTGTTACTAAACCCACAACAGTAAAATCAGTCTGTATACACAGTAAAGCATGCTTGTTATACTCACTGTAGAACCTAAGGGGTTAATCCTCTGCATTGTGTAAAAAGGATGTTTGATCCTGTCTTCTCTTATCCTCCCCTTCCTTTGCTGTCGCCAATCCATCTGCCATAGAGCAGCAGTGGCAAGTCTGCACATGATCAGTTGCTGTGTATTGCTAGAGAATTTTTTTTTTTGTGGGGAGGGGGGGGTGCATGTGATCAGCACAGGGCCAATCAGCAGTGTCCAGAGAATGGATTAGGGGTTATGCAGCCTCATTGGACAGTCAGAGGAGAATGAAAACTCCTCCTACAAGATTAACCAGTGCTAGGCTGGACACTGATAGAAGTCACAAGACTGCTCTAAATGCTGATGAGAAAAGGTATTTATCAGTTTATACTTACTAAAATAATTGAATTTCCATTTTCTATGTACTGTGGGAGACCATATACAGTGAATGCAGGGTCCTGGGTTTAGTAACACTTTAAGTCCTTCAGACTGTTCTGTTCTCTCCGCAGCTTCGCTAATGCAGTTTCCCTGTTTACATTAGAGATTGGAAGGCTGAAAGGCTGCCATGGCACTGCTGGAAGAGGGAAGTCCTGTCTGAAAGATCAATTTCAATACTTCTGCTGCTAACTTTGAGGGAGAATAGTTTTTTTTCCTACAATACCTCAATCAGAAAAAATACTGCATTGCAGCCACTGTATGGATCTGATGAGCATAGAAAATCATGGGAAGGATGGACACTTATTGCATTTATCCAAATTTTGTTTTTTAAAATAGATTCCTTAAAAGCTCATTTACTCTTTGGTGACAATAAAAAAGTAGTCAAATGTCCATAGCCTGGCCACACATTCACTTTAAATAGACAATAAAAATCGATTTATTTTAAATAAAGTTACAATATGAACGTGGTATGCATTTGGAGTGTAGGCAAGATATATTTGGTTAGGGCAGGGGTAGGAAACCTTAAAGAGGTGGAGATCTACATGAACAACATGGGAGAAGTCAAAGATCACCGGGCACAGTGTCGCCTCCTCACACCTGATTTAAACCTCTAACTACCATACTACTGCCGTGTGGCAATCGCATACATTCCACAGAAATCTTGGGTTTATATCAGGTCTTGAGAAGGCAACATATCGCCTCCTCACCACCTGTCAAACACACTCAGATTGCTTTTCAGAGGAGCAGCAATGCCTGCTGCACTTGTTAATGAGCCCTTGTGAATGAGCATTCAGCAGTGGTGCCCTTAGGGCTTGTTCACACCAGGGGCGGACTGACAACTCATGGGGCCCCCGGGCAATAGGGGATCATGGGGCCCCTGTGTCCTTGTCCAAACTCAAAAAAGCCTATAAAAAAGGTACCAGGGGCATCTCATGGGGCCCCCTACTGACCCCGGGCCCTCGGGCAGTGCCCGAGTTTCCAAATGGTCAGTCCACCCCTGGTTCACACATAAAGTCAAAGGTGGTAAAAACCCTGCAGTTGAGTCGCAGTTAAACCACCTCTAATCCTTACCCCCTTTAGCTGCTGAGGCAGCCAAAGTGTACACATGTCACAGCAGAAGTAAACCCCTTGTTGCTTTTGGTGGTTTCTGCCGCCTGCCAATCATGACCAATTCACATAAAATGGGCCACTATGCAAGTGCCCCAAAACTGCATGCTTCTGCGGGGTCAAAGGGGTTAAAACAGACTCAACGCTGCTGGCTATAACCTTTTGTTTGCTGTACTGCAACAAGTTGCAGGGCACTTGCAGAGAGGCCGCATTTGCGTGAATGGATTATGCATGGCAGGTGCTACACCCACCAACTATGACAGGGCGTATAACTCCTGCTGCTACATGTGTGCACCCCTGGCCACTGCAGCTAAAGGGGGTGCAGTTGGGGTGGGGGTGAAGAATCTGAAGATCGCTAGCCATAGCTTACCCTTTGCTCTTCACAACTCTAGAGCTTGATACGTCAATGAGATTATCCAGATCTTGACTTCTGTAACCAAAATTACAATTGCACAGTCAATAATTACATTCAAAACTTCAAGCTAGAGATAAAGTCAACCTGTTGTCAGGCTATGGACATTAAGGCATTTACATATTCTTAGGCAGTAAATGAGTTTTAAATCAATCTTTCACTGACCGCTGTAACAGCAGGCACTGTTGAGCAAAATAGCCCCAAAGTTCATAGCCAAAGCACTTAAAGTGTTCACTAAACCCACAACAGTAAAATCAAAACTGTATACGCAGTAAAGCATGCTTGTTAACTCAGTGCTAAGGGTTTAATCCTAGGCTGGACACTGATAGAAGTTAATCCTCTGCATTGTGTAAAAAGGATTTTGATCCTGTCTTCTTTATCCTCCCCTTCCTTTGCTGTCGCCAATCCATCTGCCATAGAGCAGCAGTGGCAAGTCTGCACATGATCAGTTGCTGTGTATTGCTAGATAATTTTTTTGTTTTATGGGGGGGGGCATGTGATCAGCAGTTCTCAGGGCCAATCAGCAGTGTCCAGAGAATGGATCAGGGGTTATGCAGCGTCATAGGACAGTCAGAGGAGAATGAAAAACTCCTCCTACAAGATTAACCAGTGCTAGGCTGGACATGATAGAAGTCACAAGACTGCTCTAAATGCTGATGAGAAAAGGTATTTATCAGTTTATTTACTTACTAAAATAATTGAATTTCCATTTTATGTACTGTGGGAGACCATATACAGTGAATGCAGGGTCCTGGGTTTAGTAACACTTTAAGTCCTTCAGACTGTTCTGTTCTCTCCGCAGCTTCGCTAATGCAGTTTCCCTGTTTACATTAGAGATTGGAAGGCTGAAAGGCTGCCATGGCACTGCTGGAAGAGGGAAGTCCTGTCTGAAAGATCAATTTCAATACTTCTGCTGCTAACTTTGAGGGAGAATAGTTTTTTTTTCCTACAATACCTCAATCAGAAAAAATACTGCATTGCAGCCACTGTATGGATCTGATGAGCATAGAAAATCATGGGAAGGATGGACACTTATTGCATTTATCCAAATTTTGTTTTTTAAAATAGATTCCTTAAAAGCTCATTTACTCTTTGGTGACAATAAAAAAGTAGTCAAATGTCCATAGCCTGGCCACACATTCACTTTAAATAGACAATAAAAATCGATTTATTTTAAATAAAGTTACAATATGAACGTGGTATGCATTTGGAGTGTAGGCAAGATATATTTGGTTAGGGCAGGGGTAGGAAACCTTAAAGAGGTGGAGATCTACATGAACAACATGGGAGAAGTCAAAGATCACCGGGCACAGTGTCGCCTCCTCACACCTGATTTAAACCTCTAACTACCATACTACTGCCGTGTGGCAATCGCATACATTCCACAGAAATCTTGGGTTTATATCAGGTCTTGAGAAGGCAACATATCGCCTCCTCACCACCTGTCAAACACACTCAGATTGCTTTTCAGAGGAGCAGCAATGCCTGCTGCACTTGTTAATGAGCCCTTGTGAATGAGCATTCAGCAGTGGTGCCCTTAGGGCTTGTTCACACCAGGGGCGGACTGACAACTCATGGGGCCCCCGGGCAATAGGGGATCATGGGGCCCCTGTGTCCTTGTCCAAACTCAAAAAAGCCTATAAAAAAGGTACCAGGGGCATCTCATGGGGCCCCCTACTGACCCCGGGCCCTCGGGCAGTGCCCGAGTTTCCAAATGGTCAGTCCACCCCTGGTTCACACATAAAGTCAAAGGTGGTAAAAACCCTGCAGTTGAGTCGCAGTTAACCACCTCTAATCCTTACCCCCTTTAGCTGCTGAGGCAGCCAAATGTGTACACATGTCACAGCAGAAGTAAACCCCTTGTTGCTTTTGGTGGTTTCTGCCACCTGCCAATCATGACCAATTCACATAAAAATGGGCCACTATGCAAGTGCCCCAAAACTGCATGCTTCTGCGGGGTCAAAGGGGTTAAAACAGACTCAACGCCTGCTATAACCTTTTGTTTGCTGTACTGCAACAAGTTGCAGGGCACTTGCAGAGAGGCCGCATTTGCGTGAATGGATTATGCATGGCAGGTGCTACACCCACCAACTATGACAGGGTGTATAACTCCTGCTGCTACATGTATACACCCCTGGCCACTGCAGCTAAAGGGGGTGCACTGGCCATTATCTACCGGTAGATCGCGGTCTACAGGTTGCTGTCCCCCCAAGCTAGGGCATGCGCTACCAAAGTTCAGCTGCATAAAGACATCTGCCACGCTGCAAAAATCCTACCAATCACCCAAGATGTCAGTTAGATGGATGTTCTCCAACTGGTACCATTGAGGTAAAACCTGACATCTGGATTGCTGCTCTGTTTTTCTGTCACACAGTTAGCGAGGTGTTCCATAAGACAAGTGTGATATCCTCGTCCAATCTAGATTTGTTCCCATAGGTAAGTCTATAAAAGATCATTTTTATAGACAGTAGCAATTGAATCTACTAAAGTACAATGTTTGCAAAATATACATGCAATGGTGCCGGATAATACCAAAATGATGTTGCCAGATAAAGAGAATGCATATGTATATAATGTATGATCCAAAAAGATCACATGATTTAAAAAATAAAAATTTTCAGTTGTATTTTTTCGTGGTTTTTGCTTATACAAATGTTGGAAATCTCAGATTAATGGGTCATTATTCCCTTTTATCCACAAGAAACTGATCAGTGCTGAGCCTGTATCTTAATGTATTTTAGGCCAAATTAGAGACCAAAGCCGCAGCAGATCTTGAAGATCTGTGATTGCAAGAAAGATAGCATCATATCTAAATGCCTCTAGTTTGCTTTCAGTAAAATATGATCAAGCTTGTGGCCAGTCTTAGGAAAATATTCCTTAGAATATTTTGCATGGGTGATTTTGTTGGCACTCAAAGTGTATCATTGGTACATAATTTAAAAATCACAATATCTGATTAATGATACTGATTACTAAACTTTATTTGTGTACTTTGTAGTACCTCATTGGATTTGTATAGATATTCCTACTTTCATCGTTAATTACCTTTGCTTTCGCTCAACTGCACTTCTTCTTTCTCCACTGTCAGGTGTAACAGGCTTAGAAGGGTATGCCGGCCTAAAATAAAAATATATTTATTATTGCACAGCATATCAGTGAATGTTTATTTTTCATTAAGTATACAACCACCAATGAATTATATATACCGATAATCAAATAAATATTAAGTATGCATTTACTGTTGGCACATCTTTAGCAAATAAAGTGGTGTGATCATGTTTACCATTTCAAACCTCCATGCTGAAAATATAATGACTGCAGTATTCACATACGCAGATTTATCTTTGCCTGTGTTAAAAGGCACTTAAAGCCTTTTCCAGGCAGCAAGGATGCATCTCTTTTCTGACCCATTAAAAGAGTGAATGTTCCATGGATGGTTACTTCCATCAGATGTTTTTCACACATAGGTGTTTTGCTTTATGGCAGATTTCTCTTCAAATGGTTAGTTCACCTACCATTACATTTAGTTTTCCATGAAAGCCAACATGTTGAATCACCTATTGACATCTTATACTTCTTGGAAATACAGTACAAAATCTTTGCAGTTCATAACTCTGCCCATCTGCTGCACCCATTAGGAAGTTGGTCTTTTCATTTGTTTCTATGAAGAATGCAGCATCAGCAATTAAACCTCCTCTACATGAACAGGAGAATGATAAACCTGCGTGGAGGTGATTGTAGCTGTATTAGTGCACTTGTGACAGAAACAATTAATACTGTCTGTGATACTTTTTTTTATTTGCACTAACATACAATTTTTCAGGACAAGCTTTGGTATGTCCCCTTCTTTAAGATCCAAGCAATCCTGTGTGGAGTAAGTGAAATGTCCTTTTGTAAAGAAAGTAAAATGTCTTCTGCGTGGGCAGGAGAAAGAGAGACCTTTGTAGACAAAGTGAAATGTCCTCTGCATGGACAGAAGATTGAGAAAGCCTTGAGGAGAATTGAAATGTCCTCTGCATAGACAGGAGAACAAGAAAACTTTATGGAGAAAGTGAATGTGCTCTGTATGGACATGAGAAAAAAAAACTTTGTGGAGAAAGTGATGTGTCCCCTGAATAGGCAGGAGACTGGGAAACATTTGAGGAGAAATTAAATGTCCAGTGCATAGACAGGAGAACAATAAACTTTTATAGAGAAAGTGAAATGTCCTCTGTATGGACAGGAGACTAAAAAACCTTTGAGAAGAAAGTAAAATGTCCTTTGCAGGACATGAGAACAAAAAACTTTGTGGAGAAAGTGATATGTCCTCTGAATGGGCAGGAGACTGTGAAACTTTTGAGGAGAAATTAAATGTCCAGTGCATAGACAAGAGAACAAACTTTTATGGAGAAAGTGAAATGTCCTCTGTATGGACAGGAGAACAGAAAACTTTGTGGAGAAAGTGATATGTCCTCTGAATGGGCAGGAGACTGAGAAACATTTGAGGAGAAATTAAATGTCCAGTGCATAGACAGGAGAACTAGAAACCTTTATGGAGAAAGTGAAATGACCTGTGTATGGACAGGAGACTGAAAAAGCATTGAGTAGAAAGTAATATGTCCTTTGCTGGGACAAGAGAACAAGAAGCCTTTATCAAAACATGTATTTGTTAGAAACGCTGATCATCTTGAGCACTGGAATTCCTGAGAGGCATGATGAGTTTGCATGGATCTAGCTCACCAAAGTTTACCTAAAACCAGGTTTTCTTATAATGGGATATTAAAAACATTATCAGTTCAAACTCTGCAGTACTAAAATGTGTTTTTCTGTTTCCTTGAAGCAATGGTTTCCCATCACTTCTTGTTCCAACAGGAAACAAGGGGACAGCTCCTCAACAAGGACCCAGACAGCAATAAAAATCTGAAGGGAACACTATATTTCCCTTGCTGTATCCAAAACATTTTTAGCTAAATATTCTGGCAGGAGCTGTGCTTTAAAAGGCCACCCAAAATTCTGCAATTGTTATCCTTTACTTTTTTAGCTCCATCAAATTCAAGTTGTTGTACAAAGTAATATACGGTATGTATATTATAAAACATTTACCTGCTCTCAATTCTGGGTGGTGGAGAAGTGGGTGGGCTAGGTTGTTCTTCTGTTTTTTCAAATCTAAAAATGACAACGAACAGGGCGCAACTTAATCTCATGAGCATGGTGTACAAAATACATCACTTAATTGCATGATGCAAATATGGGAGCTTTTGTTGGAGTCTCTGAATTAGATATGTACTGCTTACAGCAGTGACATTGTAGTTCATATGCTGTGTGTGTAATCAGAAGGGTGAGCTGTTACTATAGCAACCCTCAAAATGTAAATGTCTATCGTTTCCAGAACTGATGAGATTAAACCAGCTGAGTGATATTAACCCACACATTTCCTCACAGGAGACCACCAATACTGTTACATGCTAATATTCTTCACATTTGTAGCATCCCAAAGGTGACACATTTCATTGGATTTCATTTTTTTTCAAATATCCAATAATTTAGTATGCCTTGGGGTATCAGTTAACAGTGTATTTTGTCTTCTTTTATCTTTGCTTTTCTAGTATATTTGGTATTAGCACTATGTCTTTTTTGTGCTACATTTTATCTATAGCTGCAAAAGTATTTAACATGGACTCCCACCCAAAACGGACCACCAAGATAAGAGAATCCAACAATAGCCACTCTGCACAGTTCATATGTTGACATACTGCTGACCGCTGCACTCCGCAAGCTGTGCTGAATATTACACACTGCTGGTTGCTGACCTTGTTAACCTTTTCAGACCAGTGTTCTTTGAAGCTGAGATGCCAAAACCAACAGTGCTGATATTCATCATTTAACTTGACAATGACTCTATGGCTAATTTTTCCAATTGAGCAGGTCTAAGATCTAGAAAGACGCACATTTGCAAATAAGTTGCTTTCTGCTGCAAAGGTAATTAATATTCTCATGGCAAGGGGCCTTTACCTTTGAACTTTTAAAGTCATATTGCAGTCACAAAGGGGTTCATTTGTGTATTACACCATCCTTACCACTGTATTCTATATGCTATGTTGACTGTTATATAGTCTTGACCACGCTACACTGTAAGCTGTATTGTACATTACATACTCTTTACCAAAAGGTTCCTTGGTTGCTTAGTTGTTCCCAACAGTTTTAATGAAGTTAACAAATAAATATATAACCTCCTCCACTTCAAACCCCTCAAAAAGTCATACTTTCTCCCTAGAAAGTGCAATAATCATATAATATAAACCTTTTTGTGATTTAATAATACAATTAGACCCTAAAGTGTCATATAAAATCTCAGAAATCCCAAAAAAGTGTCCAAAAAAGAAAAGTCCAAAGAAAAGTCCAGTGTTCAAAAAGGTCCCAGATTTCCAAACTTTTTCATCCAATAGGAAGGATTGAATCCTATTCCATCCAGAAAAGAACCTCAAAAATAAAAAATAAATACTCTAGTGCATTACCTTTATATAAAGGAATAATCACTCAGTGCAAAAACTCAACCACTTAAAAAATGTGCCAAAAACCTTTTATAAAATAAATAATTTTTTTTATATAGTGCACATATGTACTACAAATTAGACTGTGAGCACTCTGTGATCACTGCAACACTGTGCATATTTATTGGTGCTGGTTTTTGGTGTATGCACAGTGTTACAGTGATCACAGAGTGCTCACAGTCTAATTTGTAGTACTTATGTGCACTATATAAAAAATGTATTTATTTTATAAAAGGTTTTTGGCACATTTTTAAGTGGTTGAGTTTTTGCACTGAGTGATTATTCCTTTATATAAAGGTAATGCACTAGAGTATTTATTTTTTATTTTTGAGGTTCTTTACTGGATGGAATAGGATTCAATCCTTCCTATTGGATGAAAAAGTTTGGAAATCTGGGACCTTTTTGAACACTGGACTTTTCTTTGGAGTTTTCTTTTTTGGACACTTTTTTGGGATTTCTGAGATTTTATATGACACTTTAGGGTCTAATTGTATTATTATATCACAAAAAAGTTATATTATATGAGTTTTAATGAAGTTATTTGTGCTGTCTGTATCCACACTGGGGATATTTGTCCTGGCGACCATTATTACCAGGATAGTTATTGTGCGTTTTGTGGGTACAAGCACTGTGGCTTATCTGTGCAATGAATACAGCAAGTGGGCTCAGATTCTAGTTAACCAACCCCTGTAAGCCACAGTGTTTAATGAAATCTGGTTATGCCCACCATTCACAAATTGCGCCATAGGGTGCCCTTAAGTCTTTCACAATACTTGCAATGCTCCTAAACTCTATAGTCCATTTCTGTCTCAGAATATTTCATTATGCTCCTGCCATCAATGTTTCAGCACTCTATGAATCACATAACCCTCTAAATGTATAATCAGTAGCCCTGCCTGTCCATGATACTGACACCTAACTGACTACAAAAACACAGCAGAGATCCATACAAAAATGTTAGGTGCACTCCATATCCTGACAAGTATCACCTAAAGTTTTATTATGAGAACCACTGATTTTGGATATGTAAACTACCATATATGCAGACCTTAGTTGCACTTAAAAGCAACTACTGGCAACAATACCTTGATCTGGCACTGTCAATAAAATTGGTCCTTGTTGGCTTATCTGTAGTCCTGGTGTCTGATGAGTAGATGGTGCTATATACACAGAGAGATATATGAGAATTAGATTTGTTCATATGAAATTACAAATTAAACACTAAATATTGATTGATAACTATCCATAATATTACATATTATACTACAAATTGCTATAGCTATCCATAAAAAAAGGTTTTAAATAAGGTACAAAGCCTTGATTTTTTATTTCATTATTTCTTCACTGATGTTTTAGCGTAAACAGAAAAAAGGGAAACAAACATCAGCCAGGATAATTAGATTATAAAAGAGAGTATTATCCAAAGAGAAATCCAGGTGTCCAAGAAGCCATGTATCACATTACGGTACAATTTCAAGTGAGCAATGTTATAGCAGATCCATAGGTAGGTGTCAGATGTTATCCAATACTAGCAACTGCATATGAAGGACATTAACCAAGGTATCATTAAAAATAAAATGGCCCTTTAAATATTACAATAACAATGTCTGAGCCAAGCATTCCAAGAAATGTAGTATTTCAGTAAAGTATCATTTTTCATAGCAAGTAATCGCTCAGGAGTACAATATAAATCCATTTTATCAATGACTTCAGATAGGGCCAGGGCAGATTTCCATTTTCACATTATGTTGCATTCAAAGCCTTGATTTGTTATTTATAACAAAGTGGTGACCTGTAAATACCTTCTCCTAGAACAGTGTTTTAGTGCAGGAATTTTTGGTTCCCTTTGGGACAACTCACAACAGTCAGCCTGATTATACTGTTTTCCTTTTCCAAATGTCCAGTCGATAGAAGACAGTTTCCACATCTTGAAATGATAGCAAGTAATCCAAAAATGACTATATGCATATTTGGCAAACAACTCTATATTCTATGTTGTTTTCTTACTGTAAGGTAGCTGTTTCATGGGCCACAAAGGCATAGAGATATGATTTGCATGACTACTGAGAGGCTGAGCCAGCTGCTGCTCAGGCATCAAAGTGGATCCTGACAATATGGTCAGGATTCTTCCAGAGCCTGGAGCAGCTCTGTAACAGGCTAAAGCCAGCTGTCAGCTGATTCTGTGTCAAAGGAGAACAAAAGTAAGTGCACTCCTGTGACCCAGAAGAGAAGTATGAAACAAAAAAGCTTGGGCCATACTCTTTTAATTCAATTGTGACAGGGTCTCTTTAACCTGGTTAGTTATACTATATAAGAAAGGGATTCATATCGACATAATTACACCGATTTAATCAGAAAGGAAGAATATTTAATTTTATAAACCAAGCTATGTAGATTATAATAGATGGTCTATTTATTTTGATATGATTTACGTTCTTCTTTTACTGAGTACTTTAATAAGCAGTAATAAAGCTGGTAATAAGAGATCTTACATTTTTTGTCCATCTGGTGTGCTAGAAACAGCCCTGTTCATAAGTAAAAAGTAACATAATTACTTAATAGACATTGAAACATTGTAATTTGTAGTTATGTAAATGAATCTTTATATGCAAATGCAGTCTATTTAACTGTTATTGCTCACCTTTAATATACACTAATCCATTTAATAATAGGTATTGTAATTTCCTTCATTATCATTGTTCATCTTTTCTCTGCACATCACCATGACTTTTTATTACTGCTGGAGAAAAGTTTCAGCCTGTTTCTGAATTATCACAGTGTTAAGCCACGGTAAAAAGCAGTGAAATATCACTGTGATTATGAGTTATATGCATCATAAAGTGTCCCTTCTTGTGTGAACAGGCCCTAAGTGCATTTGATGCAGCATTTGCAAGCAGCCGTGAAATTGCCGATTGCCAAACCGAATGTGTCTGACTCTTGAGTCTTTTCAGATGCATCTGCACAACAAAAAAAACAGTCCTATAGTTGATAATAAATTCCCCTGAGGGTCAAGGCAGGGTGAATGAGGAACTATGTGCTGAAAAGCACCCAATTAGATGGTTTACAGCATGAGCAATCCTGCAGTTATGCTTGATTAATATTTAAGTGGTCTCTTCCTGGCTCTTTTCTCAGTTTTTTCTCCAAAAAAGGGCTTTATCACCAAGTCTGACTTGGTGATAAATCTAGGGGTCTTTTCTCCGTATTCATCATTATTATTATTATTACTATGAGTGGCCAAAGGGTTTGCTCAGCGCTGTACAATAGGGGGGGACAATACATGGCACAGTACAACAAAGACAGAGGTCCCGATGATGGAGGTCCACCATGATCATCATGGTGATAAGACATTTTTGTTCCTGTCACTCTTTATTAACCACTTCAAGTCCGGACATTTTTTATTGAGACAGATAATACTTTATTTTGGTGGTATTTATTCACCACTGGGATTTTAATTTTTTTTGCTATATAAATGAAAAAGTACAAAAATTGTGAAAAAAAGTGTTTTTCTTATAAAATTTTGCAAATAAATAATCTTTCTTCATAAACCTTGGCCAAAATTTTTTCAGTTATCTCTTTAGTAAAAAAAAAAAATAACACAAATTAGTTTATAACCAAAAATTATAATTTTTCTAAATTTTGTTTTACATTTTTATTTTATTTTTTTTTATATTAATCTTTATGGGTTTTTTTTACATACTGTCACCATAGTGACACTGTACTACTTGTGGGGGTGTTATGAGGATTTTTTTTTTTTTCTTTTTACACTGATTGCTTTTTCACCCATAAAGGCTGAAAATCATTTCTCCTTCTCTCTGGCTGCATTCTTGCAGCCATTGAGAAATACTGTGTGAGCTGCGATTGGTCACAGCTTATCACATGGTACAAGGCTGTTGTGAATAGCCTTGTACCATATGACCTCTGTGATCATTCACAGATTTCACATGTAGTAAGCATTGATGTCAGAAGTGACATCTTGCTTACTACTCTTCATGTGATCACTGATTGGCCAATCAGTGATCACGTGATCGGGACCTCACACAGAGGTCC